GTGCTTGAAGTAGTTGTTGTAGTAGTATCAGTACTTGTTGTAGTACTATCGGTACTTGTAGTAGTTGTTGTAGTACTGTCAGTACTTGAAGTAGTTGTTGACGTGCTATCGGTACGTGTAGTAATTGTTATGGTAGTATCAGTACTAGTAGTAGTTGTTGTAGTACTGTCAGTGCTTGTAGTAGTTGTTGACGTGCTATCGGTACTTGTAGTAATTGTTGTGGTAGTATCAGTACTTGTAGTAGTTATTGTAGTACTATCAGTACTTGAAATTATTGTTGAAGTGCCCTCGGCATTTGTAGTAATTGTCGAGATACCATTGGCGCCTGATGTGATTGGTGAAAGAATGTCAGTACTCGTAGAAGTAGTTGCCGTACTATCAGTATTTGAAGTTGCTGTTACAGTATCACCGATGTCTGAAGTTATCATTGAAGTGCTGCTACTGGTTGCAGTTATACTAGTAGTTAATATAGCTGTTGTATTATTAATAGCATCAGAAGATATTGTTGTCGTAATAGTTGACACAATTGTTGAAATAGTATTGACTATAGTAGTAGTCGAAATACTGGTAGTTGAATTACTTGTTAGACCGATTACATCTGAATTACTAATAGTGCTAGTCTTGTTAGTATCAGGAGAAATGGAGATAGTACTATTAATATGCGTCGTAGTAGCCAAAATAGTCGCACTAGTAAGATTTGCATATGCATCATCTGTGGTGAGATTGACTAAAAATTGCAAAGAAAATCAAATGAATTTATCTTTAATATCAATACAATCTTTTTTTTATTCTTCAGTTATTATGATTAGATGGATATAATCAGTGTAATAGTATAGTTGGAAGGTTTGTTTCCAAAGAGGATCTTATTTCGTTCACACACTTAGGACTATGGATGACCAACGGATTCTGATCTGATGATACTATGAGTAGTTATAGTATTAATATCGGTAAAAAGAATTTAAATTATATGTGCAATGAGTTCATAGTCTTAATATAAAGTGTGATTAAATAAAAAAATGTGTATGTATTGATCTGTAATAATAAAAGAAGATAAAAATATCTCGAGAATTATCAAATAATAGAGACAAGAGTTAAGAAACTTCAGGTAGAAACTGTTTAAAAGAATAAATTTTGTATTAAGGAGAGATTGATATAATTAATAAATATTTCTTTATATATAGAATAAATAATAAAATCTCAACTGGATTTAATGAGAAGAAGATGGATATTAAAATTATTAATAATACTTACATCCACATTGCATAGTTGAAAGACATGTGAGATTAATATCATTTCGGCATTGTATATCATTAGTACATAAACCTCCAATAAATTTTTGACTCTGACATATTGATCCATTGAAAAATGAATGAGATTGACATTGGCACGTAAAATTCATACATATTAAATATGGTTTATTCTCACAAAAACTACAAGGACGTCCATAATCAATAAAATCATCTATAGTTAATTTAATTGTTCCAACAACTGATTGAATTGATTGAGAATTAATAATTGATCCTGTATTCTCTATATCACCTTCATAAAGACGACAACGTTTTGATTGAATATTAAAATTAAATGTTCGACAATATATATTTGAAAAACATATTTTTGAACAAATCATAATTGAATCAGCATTGATATCAACTAAAAGAAGAAGATTTTCATCAACCGGAATAAATTCTAACCCAAGTTGAGATAAATCAATAAATGATTGTCTATTACTTGATGTTCTTTGTAAGTAAAAGATTAAAATAAGAAACAACAAGTGTTGATAGGAAAAAAACATAGTTGAATTTTTTTTCTGAAATGAAAAAAATTTATAAATATAATTTTTATAAAAGATTTTAATATTTTCTGAATAAATTTTATGTAAATCAAAAATACACTTTGCTATAATTCGTAATTATTTTAAAAAAACTATTATACAAAGATACTTTACTGGACTCACCCAACTGAGTCTATCCATTTAGTTTTTTCCATTCGCCTGATCGAGTCATATAACTTGATATATTAATTCTCTATTACTTTTCGCATTTCAGACTACCACTGACTGTATACATGTTTCTTAAAAAATGATCTTGTTAGTTTATCAAAACATATCGAAAACTTCTAATGATAAATCTAAAGAGTTCTGATGTACATACTCACGTTATTTAAATTGTAATATGAACAAAGTAAAAAAAAAAGCTCATTAGTATTTTTTTCCTTCAAATAAAGTAAAAGCCGTTTGTTTCTTGCGTATTTATTATTTATAAGAAACCATTGGTAGTGAAGACAATTTTTTTTTTGTTTTTTTCTTTTAATTTTAATAAAATGTCCTTATCATTGATGTACTTATATACGAACGATAAATAAATGAAAAAAAACTTTTCATTTCCTAACTTTAAAATAAAGTCATGATCATTTAAAATAAATGTTAGAATTCAATATCTTAATAGTTTATTTTCGAAATAATAATAATCTTTTGAATGTGTATTGATATTTTAAGTTGATTTAGATATATTATATGATGACGTAGAATGTCCTCATGTTTCATATATGATAAAAAAAGAAATTGTCAGTAAGATCTTCTGTTAAACTAAACAGTTTTTAATTAATATTTTTGAGTTAAAATAGAATTAATTCTTTCAAAAGATCATATAATTGCTGAGAGGAATCTCGCCCAACTATTTATTAATATATCATTGAATCGAGTACACTATGTAATCTACTTGAGTAGTATGCGTTCCTGTTAAGTATTATATAGTACATTATTGATGAGAGAAATATAATAAGAGAAATTGAGTTCAAATAAAAAAATTTGAATAAAACTTCATGTCTTATTTAAAATATTTTATATTGATATAGACAAGTTAATTATATAGATTTCATCTGTTTCAATCAGTAAAAAACTTTATTTTTTTTCTTTTCATTTAAAGTACAACTATTGTCGTCATCTAATATATTACTCACCTAGTTTTCTTTTAAAAAATTAATTACTTAATTTTAATATATTTTTTTTTCTAACGAAAAATCTTTGCTTGTATAAAACAAAAAGAAAAAATTAATTGAGATAAATAACGGAAAAAAAGCATATTGAATTTATTACAATCATTATACCTCACAATAACGACGAATCTAAAATGATAGTTATATGGTTTTTATAATATATAAAAATAAATATCAAATAATTCTTTCTTGAGAAATTTTAAAAAGATTATTGAATAGATCAAATATAATGACGTGTTTTAATGAGTCTAGGATTTAGATTTTTATAATATTTTACTTTAAATACTCATAGAAATCCCTTAAAATGTAGAGAAAAAAAATACCTGAAATTCGACAAGATGTTGTTCACAAAAAAAAAAGTTTTTAATGTTCTGCTTTGTCAATAAATAATATTAGACTTTTTCTCAAACGTCTTCGAAGTTGTCGCAGATGAAGAATATTTTGTAATTAGTATAGAAGCAGAAAAAGAATTGTCCTTTTATATATGATTTTATTTTACTTAAATATCATACCAAGTATGCAATTATTCATAATCCATATGTTATTAAACTCTATGATAAAAAAGAATTTAATTAGACATATGAGTACTACTTCTCTTACTCTCGGTGCTAACTAAACGCCATAGTGAAAATACAATTAGTATAGTATTTTTTGTTTTAAAAAATGTTTATTTGATTCTTTTATTTTAGTTAATGACAACAATTTCTTTTCATTGCTTTTACTAACTGAATGTTTCAACGATTTTAATTTAATAATTACATTCCTCTAACATGATAAAGTTTTACCTGGTAATGATAGAAGCTTTTAACTATCTTCATACATTATAGTAAATAAAAAAATAAAATTTGTTTATTTTTACTTCGTATAACTATTATAAATTAATTTATTGACAAATATTTAAACTATTCAAGTTCTTTAGGATGACAAGTTTATATTTTATTTAATACATGTAATAATGAAATTCTTTGTTTTTGTATAAAGAATCAATGAATGTTTCAGTCAGCTGATGTGATTCAACAGTTAACAAAAAATAACGATATAGCACCACAATTGTTTATGTATTTATTTAGCTTCAGTTAATTTTGAAAACTAAAAATTGTTCAACAATATATTTATTAATTTTAATGTTAAAGATTACTTCATACATTTGTGACAAAGATTGTCTTATTAATTAAATTTTACTTATCTTTGATAAAATAAATAAAGTGTTCTGAAAATGGTCAGACTAAAGAATTTTCGTTGATTAGATCAATAAAGATTATTGCGTCGTTATTTAACAGAACTTTTTCTCATAATAACAATTTATATTATTATTAATACTGAAATTAAGAAACAACTTAATAGAAATGTTTACATACAACAGAAGATTCTAGAAAGTTGTTAAATCAATAATATACATATTTTTTATTAATATATCAAAGAAATGTTTTCGAAATAATAGAAAAACTTATTAATTGTCGATAATCAGTAATGATTTTCTTTAAAATCTATTATTTATCCTATCACGCATTGTTTAGCTTATACCAGTGAATTTGATACTAATGTAACTATATACATTGAATGTTAAAACAAATTTGAGATTAAAAATAGTTTATTATTTGAAAAAAAAACTCTTATTGTTTATTTATATTTCTTATAAATATTCAATAATATTTTATTAAAATAAAAATAAAGAAGTATTAAGAAAGATAGTTTATATTAAAATTATATTTATTATTCTTATAAAATAAATTTTGTTGACATTTATTATTATGGATAAAATAATAAATAGAAATTTATAATAATTCTAATGAATAATTATGAGAAAATTTTCATATGCATAAGTAATAAGAATCATCAATTTTAAATGAAAATATTAGATTAATTCTTATTGTGTCTAAAAATTATTAAAATGAATACAAATTTTGAGAAATAAATACAGAATTTTCATTAAAATTTTTTGTTTTAATGTAATCTTAATATTTATTATATTGAATTTTATTAAATAAAATAAAATTTGTATTTTTAATTATCCAAAATGAAGTGATTATATTAATAATAAAGATTAGTCACATTAGAAAAATAAATGATTATATAAAAAGAAGAAAAAAAATGAAATCATTGAATATTAAAATAGTTTCTTATGCAAGTTTTGATGATGTATTTGAGAAAATATTATTTTTATTTTCTTTTATTATATTATGAATATTAAGAACTATGAGTGATAAAAATGAAATTATATTAATTTATTATGATCAAAATATCTATTGATCAACTTCGATAATTCTAGTATATTTATTATATTCTTATATAAAATCGAACGACGATATAATTAAATCTTATTCGTCATTTCTAGAACAATGTGAAAAATATTTATTCAATATAAATACAAATAATGAGAATAGAAAAATAGAAAAAGAAATTCACATATAACCATCATATATCTGTTGAACTTTCATAAACCCTTCGTTCGATAAACACTTTTACTAGGCATAAATTATTTCAGAGTTTATTAGCACCATTTTAAAGAACAAGAGTGGATCATTTTTTAGATTTTTTTCAGCGTGAATAATACTCGTTTTTTAAAACTTTCATCATTATAATACACAATGGTTGCACATAAAATGAATGATACATATTATCGAACATCAAACTTTCGCATCTAATTGCCTTTGTATATCTCATTAGTGAAAGATAATTAGATATTGTCGAACATCAAATTTTTGCATCTAATTGGTATTTTATATCTCACTAATGAAAAACAACTCATCAATAAATAAAATTGTTTTTCTCTAATGATACTAATTATACATAATAGGCATTACCTATCTGAGAGAAAAAACAATGATATATATTGCCATTTGTATTTAATTGCTTGCTTGTTATTTTATCAAGACAAAAGCAAGCGGAGGCAGGCAAAAAGTATTGTTGTGCATTACTCATTCGTGAATATAAGAAAATATAAGAGTGTATGCTCATTACTTAATTACGCAGCTATTTTCTTTCGTTGATATTCACAACAAACGTATTGATATATTCTCCTTCGACGTCGATCCTGTTCGGGTATTGTTTCATCATAATCACTATTGTACCATTCCTATTGCATTCTTCTTATTCACACGATACCCTTCATATTAAGTATCGTTAAACTATTGAGAAGCTCTGCAATTTTGAAACTAGCTTTTGAGATGTCTCTGAATCATGAGATCTATCTTCAACAGACATTCAGTTTGACTGAATATTCAAAACCATTCCTTACCTAGTCTGATTGACTACTCAACTAAACTGATATTTATAACAAATTTATCTTTTGCTTTTGTTTTTGTTTTGAAAGAGGTGGGGTCTTTTTAAACTCTATTTGTATTTAAAGTTGAATTAGACAGCTACTTCTAAATGAGCTCTCAGCTGAACAAATGTGCCCATCCTAACTGATGCGCAGCCTGACTGGGCACACAACCAGATTGAGTACCCCATGTGACCTGGCCCTTAAAGGAATTTGATATTATTTGAATAAGTGTTATTCTGAGTCATGGCCTCGCAAATAGCCGAGTACTTATCTCGTATTTTTTTTGATAACATGGTAAATCTATTATTTCACATTTCGACATAGCAACTTGATTTTATCAAAATAAGCGTACTCGACATTTGAAGTTTAAGACTTTTTATTAGTTTTTCCTAAACATCATCGATCGACTTTGTTTAGTAAAAAGATCTTTATATGCATAGTTCGAAATAGGACAACGACAGTTATGAGCTAGAATCTTGCTTATAACCAGTAACTTATAAATTTCAAATTTCGAGCGAACTTCTGTTAGTCACACAATTTTCATATAGAAATTTATTTCAGACTTTTCTTTATTCCAACACAACACACTTTCAACTGACTCAAATCCATGGCTCATTTAAGGCTAAAACGTACAAAGTGAGTTTTGAGTGTCTCTAATGAACTTTGTCATCTTTTATTAATTGTATAGGCCTTCCAAACTTGGCTTTTCCGTACTGGTACTATCTGCTATTATGTGGACAACTATTTTTTCGCTGATTCCACTGTATGTATCAAGTAGCGATTTTAATATAACCAACATCAAGAATACCACCGACGTACAAACATTACTGGCTACTAGTTAGTATTTATTTATTGTTTTCATCATTAATATACGTAATTTTTACTAGAAAACTCACTTACTTCGTTCACTGTGTCTTACATGTTGCCATCTGGATTGACAAGAAAGCGCGCTACACAATCCGTCACCAATCGGGCTACAACCGCTGCTTCTGTAATTTTTATCCCTGATATTAATTTATAATATTTGATATATTTTAGCTACAACAAGCAGTCGGTGCTCCCAAAGGTTCCATCGCGGTCACTGGTATTGGCAGTGCAGCAGCAAACAGCGCCAAAGGTCGACGTCGTCGCGAGTAATTTTCTTTTCAGTTAATTTCAGCTATTCATAAGTATCTATGACTGTACATATAGTGTTCAATGCGACAAAACAGATACTCCAGGTGTTGCTATTATCTTTGATATCCTACTGGATTATCCACAAAATTTAGCATGCCAATCGTTGACCTGCCAAGTCAATCTATTCACTGGTATCCAGGAGAAATTCAATGCTGTGACCGATGTTAGTATCCCATCGGATGATGGAACTCCGTTACCTATACAGCTATGTCACGTCGAATCCCATACTGATGGCACAAATAACAATGCTCAGAGTTCCAGTGGCGTTGTTATCCGTGAGTTGGTTGTCTCTTTTATTACTTATCTAGGAGCACGGATGCATCTCTATCCGGACTAGAATTTAGATTGAACAGATTCCGATTCAGGTCGAGTCATAAAAAATAAATACGAATCTGAAATTTTTTATAAGAAAAACAGCAGCTTCAGATTAGATAATGACTATTTTCACTGTGAATTTAGTTGCAATATAATAAAACATTATCATCCAAAATTTTGAAAATCGCATTTTGGCTCTGCTCTATCTCCGTTTGTAGTGCTACACTGAAAAAAAATCTGGAGAATTATAAACCCTCAAAAAAGGTTTATAACTGAAAAATTTGTTTATCAACGCGCTCTACCCCTTGATAAACCCTTTTTTCTTAAAAAACCCAAGAAGGGTTTGTTATACGTTGCAAACTGATAAACCAAAGGGTTGATTCTCTCTTGATATACCCTTTTTCCATTTATCAATCGAATCAACCCTCAAAAGGTGGGTTTCTCACAGGTGATGATAAACTCTGTACTTGACGGTTGATTCGATTAATAAATGGAAAAAGGGTATATCAAGAGAGAATCAACCCTTTGGTTTATCAGTTTGCAACGTATAACAAACCCTTCTTGGGTTTTTTAAGAAAAAAGGGTTTATCAAGGGGTAGAGCGCGTTGATAAACAAATTTTTCAGTTATAAACCTTTTTTGAGGGTTTATAATTCTCCGGATTTTTTTTTCAGTGTAGCGTTCTCTTCTTAGAAACAACTTGATTTTTCAAAAATTTAAATATAAATTCGTGATGAGTGTGAAAATTCACATTGAGTGATACGCTTATTCTAATAACAAAACAATGTGAGACCTAAAAAATCAATCGGATGAATTTTCTAAAAGTCGACTTGCTATGCCCAAGTTACTTGTTATATCTGGAAATTATAGAGCTGAGAAAAATTATTCTAATGTATTTTGTTGTTTATTTTGGAATAAATATAACTTATATACGTAAACCTATTCTTTTTTAGAGTCTTGTACAATCGCTTGTCAAAATGGTGGTCAATGCACAGGTCCCACAACTTGTGGATGTACTACAGGATGGGCGGGCGACACGTGCGAAACTGGTAACTTAAATTCAGAGTTTAGTTGATTCTAATAATTTTTGCTTTTTTCTTTCAGCTGTATGCACAAGTGGCTGCCAAAATGGTGGTACATGTACAGCTCCTGATACATGCATATGCGCAACCGGTTGGAGTGGTGCATCGTGTACAATTGGTTAGTAGTATTTAAATTTGAAATATTTTCTATGATTTCTTTTCTTAAATACTGCGATGTAAGCGAGAATGTGTGATACACTTAGTCTAGGTGTAAGGCTGAGAGATGAGGTCATGGTGGCGGTTCGGGCGAATTTTTTCGTAACACTGTTTCCCTAACCCTCGCGACATGTTCAGTCTGGACAATTACACGCTCGCTGACTCAGATATAGTTTGGCGAATATCCTCACTCCTATCGGCTTGGTTCTACTAAGAAATAATTCATGGAAATAAGTGATTTAGTTTAATGTCTTATTTATTTATTCAGCTAAATAAATATTTTCTATTACAGTCTAATAACTATCTCTTGGCAGTACAATTTTTTTCGAAAAATGAGAGAATAGCCAATTCATCAGGTTTAAAAAGATTTTAGCACCGAATCCATACGGTGCCAACTGATTTGTTTCAGTTGTTGCAGTAGACACAAAATTATAAATAAATTTACTGTAGAAGAAGAGAGACAAAGAAATCCATACGAATGAATTCGAACTCAGATATATTGTTAATCTATAAGGAACTAGTAAACTATGAAGAAAGTGCTATTCAATCTTTCTGTTTCATATAGAACCGACAACTTCATCAACGACAATAACAACAGCAACAATAACAACATCAACAACAACCAGAACAACTACGACCAAAACAACTACAAAAGTAACCACCAAAACAACCACAAAAACAACGACGACGACAACCAGAACAACTAC